CTCGGCCCTGGAATCACCAGTTCCAAAACACATAATTATTCCTGAGTAATTAAGCTGCACCACAGTGAAGATAGAATTGGGAAAATAAAGCTAAGTTCCAACAAAATATCACTGTCTCTGTTGATCTCTTGTAGGGAACAGTTCTTTAAAAAAAAAAAAACAGGGAAATATTAATTCAAAATGCATAAGATTAAAATACATACTGTATGCTTTGTTAGAGTGCTGTAATTGAAATGTGTGTTTTATTGAAACAGGTTCTATAGTATATGGATATATTCTTCACTATAGCTTACTTAAAGCACATAATGTTATAAATGACAATTAACTTGTGAATACATCAGACATATTTTAATATGTTAACAGTTAAAATAGTTTTAATAAAACTGTGAGATACACATACTGTAGCTATTGGGATGGGAGTTTGCAAACCTGAATACAAATGAGAGTGAGATCAGCACCTAAAATGGCATTTTAAACAGCATTTCTTCAAGCAAACCTTTTGCCCATATTTTAACCAGGCCTGATCCATAAATCTAAGGAAGAACCTTGGACTGTTCGCTTCCCGCTTTGCATTCTAAAAGACCAGGGTCTGATTTTGTACTTAGAAAACAGGGCCTGAAATTCACATTAGCCACTTTTCCTGCAAAGGTTGCAATTAGGGAGTCGAGTCATTGATTACTGAATCAATCTAAAGCTGATTGATGATATCTGTACAAGCAAGCTTCTAACATCAAGAAAAAAATGGAAACTCTAAAACAAAACAAAACATCTACATTTTAGTGGTTAGTCCAAAGGAAAATCTAAATAAAATCTTGATCGCAATATTGGTTAGAAATAATCGGAATAAGCTGTTAGCGACATACACAGTGTTTGTAAAAAAAATCAGTCTAAATATAGTTTACACTGTAGGTAACAATTCATGCAGTGTTCCTTGTATTGTTTGGTATATTACAACTATTTACAACTAAAGCCTATTTGTAAAGACTACAGGTATAATATATTTAAAGTCTAGCACCTTTTTAAAACTTCTGCCAATATTCTTATCTCCCAATTCATCATTCTATGAGATGCATTTGTTTCACAATCAAAAATCACAATAACTTACTGATTTTAAAATACCTTCTCTATATCCGTGATCAAGTCTGGATCTGCTTTGCTTGTAGATGATATAGCCATATAACTACAAGTTCACTATGAAATCTATAAAGAGAAACTTCACATATATAATTTACAATGAAAAGATGCAAGATAATCTTTCTGCTCTGAGATTATCAACAAAAACATTTAAAATGCTTGTGCCTTATTTGCCACAGTTGACAGGTTATAAAACCCTCTTAACTCCATGCTCGATAAACAAGTATTTAAAAAGGCCTACCATGACTTTGCAAAGTTCTGTAGATAGAAAATACAAGGTATTAGAAAAGCAGTCTGTAAAGGAAAGTCAATTCCAGTACCAAGGCTGTCACCTGTTTGAATAAAATCTGTTTAAATGCTCTAATTCTGCTAAATAAACAGCAAAAAAAAAAAAAATCTTCAGCAGCTAAGCTCCTCGTGCTCACTTGATCTTTAACCCTGAGGTTTTATTAAGAAGGTTTTACTTATTTGATTGAAATCATAAACATCCCTTATGTTGAGCATTTCCCCCAGGCATTAAAACAGCAACTACCCACCACTGTTGAAAAAGAGACGCTTGGACAAATTAATCCAGCAGAACTACAGATCCATCTCAAACCTCCATTTCATTAGTAAAATTATTTAAAAGGTTGTGTTTCAACTCTTAAATTGGGACACTTATGCTGTGTTGCATTTTTTTGAGTAACTCCCTGCCCCCCAAATGCCTGTCTCATTTTCCTAGCTCCCTTTTAGTAACTTCTATCACAGATGCTCAATATTAGCTCTTTAGCCCATTCTTTGTTCTTTTCCCCATATATACACCACCCCGGCAGCTCCTCATTACTGGTTCATCTTCATTGTTTTGGTCCCCATGTGTTGTTCCTCTCTGGCCTTTCCTGTTTTTTTTTTGTTTTCTGTATTTGTTTATGAACTTTGCATCTGCTGCCTTTGGATTTTGATTAAATCTGCATGTAGGCATCTCTGCCTCCTCATCTCTGCATTTGGGTCCTCAACCAACTTCCTTCAAACCTTTACACTTCTATGTGTCAGGAATGAACTAAAAATCAGATGTCAGAAAAATCACATGCGGGGTCCTCAAGGCTGCATTCTGGGGGGCCTTCCTATTAAATACCTACATGCTCCCCTTAGCTCAGATAATAGCAAACAACAACATAACATAACTATGCAGACGATACACAGCTTAACATCAAAATGTAACCAGGTGACCATGAAACCATCAGAGCTTTGGCTAGATTCTTAAAACAGATCAATATGTGGACGTGCCATAATTTTCTCCAACTAAATAAAAAAAAAAAAGAGGTAATAATCTTCAGACCGAAGAAGAGATCCAGAGTTATCTCACAGCTTCAGCTACTACAGCTAGAAACCACGATTATAGGACAAAATCTTGGTGTCATGATGGACTCAGACCTGAACCTTCAGAGTAGCATAAAGGCAGTTACTAAGTCAGCCTTTTATCACCTGTCCTTAAGGACTAATTTTTAAAAAGGATAAAAAAAAAAACTCATTCATACATTTATCTTCAGTAGGATCGATTACTGCAACAGTGGCTTCATAGTTTTGCCCAAAAAATTCCGTCGGAAAGCTGCAGCTGATCCAAAACGCTTCTGCCCGTGTTCAATACAAACCAAGGATCATACAAATTTCGCTATCATGTAGTATGTCGAATTTGGCTCAGTTGTGCCAAATTAAGTATAGGTACTTTTTGTGCTTCATCAAAATTGGGCATTGTCACTTGATCTAAGCCAAATATTCGTCTACTAAAATTTCTTGTAGAGTTAGAAGTTTTTGGTTCAAACCTAAGCCAGATGCCTTTCTGTACAGGATCTTTCCAGGAACATGACGTGTATGTGTAAATGCGGAATTACTATTAGTTTAACGTTACGTTCACAGTTTGAGCAGCAAAAAAAATCTGCTGTTTCATTTTTGCAAACATTAAGGTCAGACACTCCTAAAGAGCATCTTTTAAAGACGATCCTGCCTTAAAATATTATTTTGCTGTTGGAGCCACACAGACTCTCGTAGACCGGCGTTGCACTGTCACTGGAAATCTCCAGCAGCAGCTGTTTCAGGTGGTTTTCTGCAACTGTTTGTGAAGGTTTTTCGTTTTTCATGCACACAAACTGCAGGCACCAGAATAATTACGAGAAACATATTTTACCATCATGTTTCAACATTTTAAGTTTATTTAGACAAAATAAACTGTTTCAGGGGAGTGATAATGGTGCTATGCAAAAGCAGCACTGTGTCTGTCTCTGTGCCAGTTCCCAAATTGGCTTCTCTGATCGGTTGATGTGGCGCATCGAGCAGCAAAAGTAAAATTTTTCCAACTCCAGCATCTTGTGAAGCTCGTCGTGCACCTCAGATGCTCAGAAGCTCATGAGGCGCTGCTTCAGCTGCTCAGATATGTTAAGATGCACTGCTCCTGCTGCTCAAGGCACGCTGCAGGACCTTCTCATGCACCTTGATGGGCCTCAACGATTTACTTTGCATATGAACCCGCTGCTTCTGCTGCTCAAAGCGTGTGTAGTGAACGCACCATTAGTATCATTTTCTAAATTTTACTCATTAAACACAGGTGATTTGTTGTGGTCCTTAGCCACTCAATGAAAGACCCTAGGTTTTCCAGCAAAACTTTGCTAAGTGCTTCACACTGCAGCTTAAGTCATACAGACTTCCCAATATAACACTGTCAAATTTCCTAATATACTCACTGTGAAGACAAAAGGTTCCCTTTCTTGCCAAAAATACCTCACAGACTAACAGGTGCAACAACTAAGAAACAATCACTTCCCCTGCCAGTGATTATAACTTAATTACTATTTCATGAAGGAGAAAGAACAAAGAGCCAAAATGTTCATCAACATTACTTTTTTCTCACGTTTTAAAGGTAAAAGCGGGTGCAGGCAGTGTGAAACAGCAGCTGGTAAACTTTGAATCACTAACACATTTAGAAATCATCTGGAAATTGTTAATTTATTCTGTTCCAATTACACATCTATTTGTGATGATAGGTAAATGCATTCAGGTAAATAAGAAAGAATAAAATCATAGGTATGGGGAGATATATTTTCATTGTTCATGAAAGTTGTAAAACACTGTTTTACCCTATTTTGTTTTTAAAGACTAAAAAGTATTCTGTAAAGTAAATTCAGGATCTGATGCCAACCCAGTCATCTAGAACTGTATCATTGTATCTAAAAGCCAATTTAAAATTACCACTGAACTGGGTTTCTTTGTGCTTTGTTCACTGTAAACAACATTTAAAGCACCACATTTTCAGAAAGGAAGCTTGGTATTGATATATTCTAAACACACAACATGAGTTACATCAGCAAAAGAGATGCAGTTGTCCTTAATACAGTACCATTCAAAGTTATAGTGTATTTTATAGTGTATTGGAACAAGATGCAATGCATCAAAAGAACATCAATCCTCATAACACCTTCACATGTTGTGGCAAGGGCGCTGCTCTAAAGAATTATCAATTAATCTTTAGATCCAAAATATTTTGGAAATTATGAGCATTTAAGATACATTTACCAAACTTAAATTACAAAAATAAACAAAAGCTTTGTTTTGACAAAAATACATTTTGATGATTGACACTTAAAACGCTATAATTGATTAGAATTTGAACATAATTATTAATTAGAATAGAGAAAACATGTTAAAACGGACTACCCTCCTTTTTTTTTTAAAGATCATTTGACAAAGAAAATAATAATGGTTTTGTATTTTTAATTAATTTTCAGAGGAAGAAAATTCATTACCTTTATTTTATTCTAGTCTTTCTGCATTATTAAAAAAAAAATGTGTGAAAACACATGAATTAATTACAAAAAATGAATTTAAAGATAAATTACCGAACACGGTCCTAGCTGGAACAGATTCCTTATTGATCCAGAAGGAAACTTGCGCCAGAATGACAGTCATTATGCAGGGAATGTAGGTCTGAATCAGGAAGAAACCCATTTTCCTTTGAAGATGGAAGTGGACAGTCATTATGACATATTCACCTATAGGAGTACAGAGAGGAATTAAAATCAGATGAATCAGATAAAACCTGTCACAATACATTTCATAGGGTTTTTATTGTGATTTATTTCTGAAACAAAAAATGCATAAGAGATATTTTACCTGTCCATCTCTCAAAAAAGCAGAATTTATATGGTTAATTTTACTGTTTTCTTATAATAACACGTATGCTTTTTGGAAGTAATATAATTCTCATACTTATGAAGGCTCTTTTTACACACTGTAAAACAATAAATGGGTCAAGCAAAAGTGTGAAAGCTTTCTGATCCAATCAGTATAATCAGTTTATGAGTTAAGAAGAAAAATCTAATGACCTGTGTTAGATTTCAGCCTTTCGCTTGACACTGTCTGACCTATAAGGTCATATTGCAACAAGCTAGATGATTCCTGTGGAACTTCAACAGAAGACTGAGGTCCTTTCTTCCATGTGTACACAATCTCACTCATGGGGTAAGCATCTGTAAAGGAAATACATGAGATCTTAATGGAAATTCAAATTATTCAGATATAAAGAAATACAATTTATGGAAGAAATAATATGATTTAAAATAGTGTTGCGCCGATGGCATTTGGCCCCGATACCGATACCCGATACCTGTCTGTGCAGTATCGGCCGATACCGATACCATAATAATGTAAAATAATTGCCATCATGGCTTTGTCAAGCTGCTGCCTACCTTTGTGAAGCAGGAAAAAATCTAATACAAAGTGAAACCAGTAGAACTTTTTATTGCCTACCAGGAGTGGGTGACAATAGTTGAATAAACTTATGGCTCTCAAAATGGTATCGGTGCCCTATTTGTTGGTACTCGCCGATACCGATACCACCATTTTAGGGCAGTATCAGGACCCCATCCGATACGGGTATCGGTATCGGTGCAACACTACTTTTAAACAAAAGTAGATCATTCAAAACTTACACTATAAACACCATCAATGAAACTTGGAAATATATACATAGCTTATTCCATGTACTTTTCTTTATTTTGTCAAGTTACAACCCCACACTCCAAAGCATTATGTTAGCTTATTATGTCGTATACCAACACAAAGCATAATTACAGTGAAAGGAATTTACATTTTAAATATAATAGCCTGAGAATGACCCAAACTGAATTAAACTAGCTTTGCTCTTTGTCCCTAAACAAAATCCAGTAAAACCAACTGCCTTCATATTCTCCATACTTGTAAATAGTTCACTCTTGTCTAATTGGATCTCAGTATAAAAATAGAAGTTCTGTGAAGACTTTAGATGTTTAATGGGGAGCATAGTAACACACAGCTTCATAGATACCAATAAACACACCTGGTAGGTGAGTGATATAGAAGGGACATTTAAAGCAGCACTAGGTTCTAAAACATATCCTCATTTTCAAACATCTCACATAGCACTTTTTAAACCATTAGTAAAAATTTAAATAGTATAGCATTTCTACAAGAAAACATCAAACATAGTATTCAATCACAACCGACTAGCCGAACAATATTCAGAAGAAGAAAAAAACAAGAGGTTTATTAAATCTGTGGAGGAGCTTCAACTCAGGTGGGAAAAAAATAAAAAAGTAAAACCACAACTAAAGGTATTCTTTAGACTTTTTCTTTCCAGTTTGCAAGTAGCTACATATTGGACACAGCAAATACATTGAAGTATTTGTTCTGACCAAAACTGAATCTTACAGCTTACATGTGGACATTAGCAAAAAACCAAAAGTCCTAATAGTAGAAGCATTATGCTTTGCCAAGGATTTGTTTAAGCAGAAAAAATAGTAATTGTTGATGGTTAGATGGATGGTTTGAATTACAGGGGAACCTTAGAGGAAAACCTTTTAAAGGCTGCAGTAAACTTCTAGTAAGTGTCCTAAACAAAGAGTCAACACTTAGTCATGGTTTAGATCAAAACAAAATTGTGAAAGCTGTGAATGCTTAATCCAAGTCCACATTTGACTCCAATAGAGAATCTCTGACAAAAAAAAAAACACCCTAACTCCAGAGAAATATCTAGTTGTAAAACAAGCTGTGTTTGCAATGTCTAGAGTTGGTGATATTAAATTAAAAGTATATGCCAACATTTCCACGTTTATATTAAGATATTTAAAAAAAAAATCTAAATATTTCATTTATTTTTTACAATCATGCAATAGCTTGTTGTGTTCCATAAACTTCCCCAAAATAAAAGGAGTTCAAATTAAACAAACAGTCTGTTGAATTAAAAGCATATTTAATAGAGTTCCCACATGTGAGATTTCAAACTGCAGTCTTAGAAGGAATCTTGTCAGATGGTCAGTTACTTTGTGACAGTGTGATTATTCGAGAGTGACACCATCTGTCGAACAACAGAGACTCAACAAGAAAGCAATACTCACAGCTCCCAAATTTGAGTGGGCAAGCATGGCCATCCATCGGGAAGTTCATGAGACGCATGGGGCACTCTGCATTTATAGTTAATCTGTTAGAATAAAGAAAGCTGAACTCAATTTTACATTTGAGCTGACACTGAGCAACGGATGCTGCTTTAAAATAGATTTTGCAGTATGCTGTTATTCTAAATTTTGTTATGGGGGAATAATAAAAAAAAAGCTCTGCATCTATGAATGATACTTTGAAATATATAGATACATTTTATCATCAAAAATGAATATATCCAATCACAGTTATTTACTTTATTCCCATGACATGGTCCATGGGGAAAAAAATGATTTCTTATTAAGCACTAGTTATGACAGGAGTGAGGGTAGCATGGCCTTATATGGCAACGTTAGCAGTGAGAAAGCCTCATCAATTTAATTTACTGTAAGTACCAGCACTATTGAGCATGTGACACATAACATTTTTAGTGATCTAATAATTGTTTAAAGGACATTTTATATTTTCATGAGCCCCCACTAATTAACTAACAAAGGGAAATTTTTCAATGTTTTCCTTTTTTAGTTTTTGAATGTGAACAGTACATTTTAATACAGTTACTAGCCTCTCCATACTCTTCAAAGTGTTAGATTCATGGCCCCTGGAAAGCATTGGATAAACTGCTATTTAAGAACATAAACACTTATATATATTCAACAAACAGACTGTATAGTTATTTACTTATTTTCAGTAAGAGTATCCTAGATGCTATCCCACTTAAAACATAAAGTATTTGAATTAGTCAACAGTTTAATTGAATGATTCACTTCATTAATGATTAGATTTCTGATTTTTACTTCTCTGCTTGTGAAAAAAACAACAACATTAGGGATTAGATTACTATTTTCTGTTGAACAATCTTAAATTCTCATTTGGATTGGCTTATGGAAAAATACCAAAAGATCTTAAGCTGACACAACAAAAAGCTTTTCATCACTATTGCCACAGAAATCTGTGCACTTTGCCTGCAAACACCATAAACTGAGGGATTTTGGCATTTGTTTGGAAAGGTCAGCATTTTTGCTGTTTAAAATCTATCAAGGAAAAACTGAAAACCTAAAACCTGCGTAGAAATATTTACAATTCGCAGTGGAAAATAAGTTGTCTCTGGAAATAAAACTCTCAGTTTAATCAGATGCATTTGACAGAGGGATACAGATTAAAACAGTGTTTAACATGGACCAAAGAGAGAATAGAATTTAGTATAATTAATATAATCTTTGAAACACATGATTGCTGAATAGCTCATTTAATAATGCAATTGTTTGATAACATTGTTCTAGCTTATCCACTGCACAACAGAAAGAAGCCTGTGCTGATTCTACTGTAAGTAGGTCAAAACATTAAGGAAATATCTTAAGCCTAAGAAAATGATCAAAGAAAAAGAAACCAATTGATTTAACAATTCATCTCTTGCTGATACATGTTTTCACTATAGGTTTGCATGCTTCAGTAAAGTTTATATTCTGCAAAATACTTTGCTAAAACAAAAAAAGAATTGAACTATATTATAACTATTTTAATGCTGTTTCTGATGCATAACATTTTAATGAGCTGGGTACATGAACCAGGGTTTATTTCCAGACAAATGTATATATATTTTAAATACAAATTGATTTCAGACAATAAAACAGGACATTTAGAGAACTTATTACATTGGTAAAAGTAACAAACTGTGGAATTTATTACATTTCTCTTTTTAATGAGCTGTACCACGAAAACATCTATGTAATCTGACTTTATGTGGCTTTGAACGGCTCTTGTGGTTTATTGAACGGATTATTTAAAGCTTATACATTTTATCTTAACCTTTAAAAGTCAAGTTGAGCCACCCAGATAATCTGGTTATTTTTTAAATCTGCTTTTTTTTTTTTTTTTATATTCATACTGTCACTGAGTCTAGTTTTTTCATGCTGGAAATTTACTTTGGAACAAAGCTTCGAAGTCATGTTTGTTTGAATTGCTTTCAAGGACTGTTTTGAGTATCAGATGGCACATTTCTCTTTTTTTGGCACTCTATAGTCCTTTTTAATGTTTGTGCATATTCTTGGACGCCTATTTAGTAGAATAGCTTTCCAGGTTTATGCTCTGTTCTGGCTTTGGCTGGGTATTATTATTGCTGTCCAGAACTGTTACCTCATGGTGTAGAGGATAGTTCCGTTTTGCATGATGCGGAACAGCTTGTTCGGAGTGGTCATGTTGTGAGATATTGACCTCTTGCCATTCCGGAAAAATGTGTCAGGAGTCCAGATTTTGCTGACCATAAGGTTGTTTAGCCGCAGGATCTCAATCGGGCCTTCAAATTTTAGCCGTTCATCAATCCATGTCTGACGAAAGAACACATCCATGGTGTACTCCTGGAAAGGGGTTCAAATGCATGTTATAGCAGCTTTTACAGACATTGAAACCACGCATGTTTCTAATTCTGCTTCCACAGTCAACTATTTTGAGTCATTATTATTTGCTACCCCAGAGAGAATGACAGATGGGCTTGTGAGCCATACTTTGATGAAGCCATCTCAATACTATACAGTACTAGCAGTATAATAATTTATTTTCCTACTCACATTAATTTTTTTGTTTGTTTTTTTCTTCAAGAGGTGCCCCCCCTTCTCTTTAGAATGACCAAATTAGCCATAGCATTGATTTAACATGATTTTTAAATCATTCATCTAGATTTTGGTATGTCTCATATGACTGGATCATGCAAGGCTGCATGTCTGTCAACTGTGCATTTATGATGTGAATATCTCAGTCCACGATATTCCAAGGGAACTGTGTCATATCGAAATCTGGTGACTGTGGAAGCCATATGAGGACAGTGAACACTGTCATTTAAAAAAAAAAACAACTAGTTGGGTTATTTTAAATTATTCGGCCTAGTTTCATAGCATTTACTGTAAAAGTTAGGTACACTGAAGAGATGTGCATAGCCAGTTTAATTCCTTATCCCCAGCCACCAACAACAATGTGAACCCTTGACACAAATCCTGTAGTATTCATGCTTTCATGGGTTTTGTTCCAATCCAAACTACCTAAATGTCACAAATTAAACCAAGACTCAGACATTTTTTATCAGCCTATTCAAATTTTGGCATAATTTTCCTGCTTTTACATGATAGCAGTTAAAGGTCATGTGGTTTGCCGCTTTTGTAGGCCATGTGCTTCAAAGTTTGACATGAGTATTTATTTCTCCTTACATCATCTAGACCCAGATTGCACATTCTTTTTTGACTTCTAAAATGACAAAAAGTATTTTGCCAATTAGACAGCGCGTACTGGACATTCTCTAAACAGGATGGCTGTGCTTGAAAGTTCTGGCAGGTAAGCTTTTCTGAAATACTCCAACCCACATGGTGGGCCCCAAAAAAACATCCTGTGTTAAATTACTGTTATCTGATTATCTCCTTTGCTAATTGTGTTTACATTTTTTTAAAGAGGTGTATCCAATAAAGTGGCCAAAAAAGTTAACCTTTGGTGGAAAAAAGCAATCTTAAAATGAATAGAAATACTTTTACCAATGTCAAAGTAAAAGTCTGGAAAGAGTCTGTCGTGACACATCGTCAAAAGAAGGGTCTTGCTCAGCTTTTAAGAGCTGATGACATGCTTTCACAACACATATGCCTCTAGCATATAAAAGGCTATAGATGCTGTTAACTAGTATCTAAAGCTAGAGAGTAGAGCACAAAAGCCATACATCAGTCAGCCTATCCCATGGCAGGAGTTGCCAGCCTATCATGTCCCAACATCAGCTACATCTCTATCTCTCTTTCTCTCTCTGGGGGGAGATGAGGGTGAGTTGGGGGGGATTGTCAACCAGATTAAAGTCCTAAGCTGTACTAATGACATCCTGCCCAAATGCCTGAATAATGAAAGCTGAGAGCCATAAGTTAGAACATATATGCTTTGATATACATGAAAAACTAACTATATATCTTTTTTTTTTATTTTACAAACAGTTGTTTCAATCTTTGGAATAAATGAAAGTCAAAAGTAGTATTTCTTAAGGTTTACATACCATCTCTACATCTGAAACAGGTCCAAAGCTGGTGACAAATATGTCAGTTTTGACCTCTGTGACAGGACCTAGAGCAGAAGTACAAGGTTTTGTTCTGACTTTGATCATATTTGTTCATGTTCTTTAAAATCTAAAAAGTTCACAATCAAACCCTTTTATTAATCTATATAAATAGGATTAACAGAAATTTGAAACATTGCGCATAAATATACTGCTGGAATCTCAGCACTAAGCAGAAAATTGGGCACACATGCGCTGGATTAAAACTTTATCATCTAAGAAAAAAAACCTAAACTATTTACTAAAATGAGATTACATGGAAGTCAACAAGATAAATGTATGTACCTCCAAATCCAGGTCGCAGCCTGTTGTCATAACCATCCAGTAATCTATCCAATATACGCGTGATATTATCCAAATAGATACTGGTATCGCTGTGCTGAGTCTCACAAACACTTCTCGCGCTGAAAGTAGATGGATTGAAACAGACAATTCAATTAGCTATCAAATCATTCCAACACTGGAGAGTTTCTCTATGCACTGAATGATTGCGTTCCCGTGCGTAAAGAAGTCAGCCAAAAACGCAAAGAAAGAGTTGTCACACTTACCAAAACAGAAATAAGCTCGTCCAAATGAAAGCCATGCCTCGCAAAGACCCGATCGACATGATGCATTATTTTAAAAGCATGGTTCTTTACTGGTTTTGGTCCTTTTTCTTTTATTTGAAATAAGTGCGACAAGATCACGCCAGTCCAGCACGACTTGACTTTCCCTCTAGTGCGGTTGCGCCCGCCTCATCCTGAACTGCTCAGCTGGAAAAGCCGAAAGAGTTTTCAACAGAGTGAAGAGGAGGGGGGGTAGTGAGGAGGGGTGTCTAATGTTAACGCGCTTCTCTCTTTATGATGGAAACCGATATTTAAGGTTTGGACATAAGAAGATCTGGAAGTATGTGAGGTTATAGTTAATAATGGTAAGTAAAATATTTAAACTAAGAAGGTTGGACGTAATAAAGCGCATGGGAAGAACAGAGAGAAGGGATAAAGTGTGGAGGAGTGCTTACTGTATATGTATACAGTAACAACAATTTCACCAGCATATCAATAGAGCTTTTGCATGGCAGTATAATTTCTCAATCTGCTATTGCTCCCTCTTAGTCTCCTATGTATTCAATGTATATGACATAGACACAAAAGAAAAAAAATAAAATAAAAATAGTATGATTCACACTGGGGTTGAGTGGAGTGGGTGGTAGGTACCTGTAGTGCACTATCAAACTCCATAGAACAAGATTAATGGGACATCACACCCAGCTAAATATAGCAATTACCACAAAGTAGATTTTTGCATGTTTTGCAAAACCACAGCTGAATTAATGTCACTGTGTTCTTTGGTTTCCTATGACATGTGGTTTTCAGCAATTATTGCTGTTGTCACTTCAAGTACCAGAGCCAGATTGTTACTGTATGTGGCCTTAAATCAATGCGATTGGTGTGCTCTGGAACTATTATTGGCAACCACAGCCAGTGGGGTCAGTGGTAGTGTGTTAAAAACACTGCAGATTGTTATTTTTCTGTAAATAACAAGACCAGATCATCTGGCACCAAAAACCATTCAAATTCACTTAGATCACCTTTATTCTATATTCTGATGCTGTTTGAATTTCAGAAAATTTTAATTGTTTTTACATGACCAGTATACTACATGTATTGCTGTCAAGTGTTGTGACTTTAATTGAAAAAGGTTTAGGTATATCTCAATCATCATCAGCCTTGAAATTGGCTGCACTTGATTCTAATTTTCACTGTAAATTTGTTCAGCTAATTTGCACATGTAATATCTTATTATGAGTTTTAAAATGAATTGAAAATGTTAACCAAATATTTGTAAAGGTTTAACTACATAGGAAGTTATGTGTTGGAGTGATATGCAGTGCTTCACTTCAAATAATATGAACGCAAATTAATCACAACAACTTTAGTAAGCAACATTTTAACCCAGAAGAGAAAGCTGCAGATTTCTTAAAACCTAGAAAAGGGGAAGCATCAAATCCTCTCAGTATATCAGCAAGCTTCAGTAGTTTTATGTGTTGAGTGATCAATGACCTAGAATACATTCTGTTTTTTTAGCAATGCATTACTTTTTCATTATAAGCGGTATCATAGTCATACTATCAATAATTCATATGTAGGAGAAAAATATAGGATTTTACTCTGGCATACTGAAAATCTGAAAACTGGTTTCACAATGTAATCCTCAAACTCTCCTTATTTTCTCCTTAAAACACAAGTTATATAATGATTTCAATATATAACTTGAATTATATTAAAAATAAAAGCAGATTGACTCAGATAACTCTGTTGAGTGTACAGTATATTAGATTCCACCAGGGCTGCCCTCTGTCACTGCTCCTCTTTATAACCTTTATGGACGGGATTTCAATGCACAGCAATGGGCTGGGAAGTCTTGTTTTAGAACCAGTAGATGTTGTTCCTGCTTTTTGCCGATGCTGTGTTAGTTTTGGCTACCTTCTGCCAAGACCTACAGAATATGGTGGAGAAGTTTGCAGCTAAGTGTGAAGCAGCTCCTCAAGTCCAAGGCCATTGTTCTCGACTGGTAAAAGTTGGCTTACTCCTTCAGATCAGAGGAGAATTCCTGCCTCAAGTGGAGGATTTGAAGTATCTTGGGGTCCTGTTTATGACATGTAGTATAAAGACACACACAGATACACACACACACACAAAAAAAAACATACTTCTTGATGATACCAATGTTGTTGTTGTTGTGATGCTCTCCCATTGCCATGGCTTAATGTTGAAATACAAACAACCACAATGAAAGCGATGATAGGCTTATTAAAATGTTAAAGTAATTTACTAATTTCCAACAAAAGTTTGCTTTGGAATTTAGTATAATTTACTGGGCTAAATGAGAGGTAGAAAAAGAGTGCCTTTGCACTACTTTTCTATGTAAAGTTCATTTACAGCACTGCACTCCAATATTTGTGTTACATCTGACCATTGCACAAAGAAAAATCTTTTAGATGTCTCAAAAAGATTTGCCACACCAACCTTACCTGTAAAACACAGAAAAAAACACCCATGCACATACACAGACAAATGCGTTGTGTCACACTATCCTTGTGTGAACTTTCCATTGACATACATTTATTTCTCATTCGTTTCTATGGCCCAACCCAGACCCTTACCCTAACCATTACAAACATCCCCACAAATACCTAAAAGTCTGTGGTGTAGTGGAGGACTTTTCAGAGCTCCGCAGTTATACCTTCGACTGTGCTCCAGTGCATTTGAATAATTTTACAGCCAGGTAAACCTGACAGTTATCATCATGTATTTCCTCCACTTTTTCTCACTCATTTGATGTGCCTAGATTTGCACGTATGTACAGAGAACATTTTGTTTCAAAGCAAAGGGTTTCTTTTAACATAGTTCTTTAACTCCAAATGGTCTTTGGCTCGCCAGAAAAACATAGTGAGTATGGGGGTTTTATAGCAGGCTTTGCAGGGCATTCACGGTGTACTTTAAAGCTTTGTCCTTTTGAGAGTGTCTTGAGAGATCTAAGTTTCCTGTCTAAAAGCACTGTTTACTAATCCTTATCCTGGGTCCAATAATGTTCACTATTCCATCCATGTAAATATTTACTTCCTGGCAGTGTGGCACATCATTATACATGTTTCATGACAGATAACCAAACACCAAGTTGGGCATTAAAGTCATGTGGAAGGAAAGAGACACATGACTTTCAATATTTGGTCACAAATTACGATCAGAAATGTGTAATAATTTAAATTTAGCCTCTTTTTATCTGGCACTTCAAATAAAAATCCACTGCAACCAACTAAATTTAGAGGTTATATACCAAACGTAGTCCACTAAGGTGTAATTTAGTCTAAGTGTGATAACAGCTGTTTTAAATTGGCCTATTTTTAGGAGGAGAGTGAAAAATAAAACATGCTCAAGACCAGGAAACACTTCCCAAAAGCTGAGGATAAATCTGTAAAAATATCCAATATCCAAACATCCAATGATCTGTTAAATGTATTTATTATCAATCTTGAACTTGTAAAGCAAAGCTTTATTAAAAGGTTTCCCCTGAAGAGCAATTGTTAAATGATAGCTTTATATAAGTCAGTTTAAAGTTAGCCAAAGGCCATTCAGGGGACTGAGCAGGCATTCAGAATTAAATTCTCTTTTCATTTGAGACTGAAAATTAATATTTTGGGCTAAATGTATAATATATTATGTGGTACAACCCTAATGCTGCACATTCTTTCCTCACTGGGACATATTAGGGAAAGCATCATGATCTGTTTTATTGTTTGCTTGACTTGTTCGTGAAGTTGCTGAGTAATAGCATAATGCAAAGACTAGTAAGTGCTTCCTCTGTGGTAATCTAAAGTACATATAACAACAAGAATCCAATACCAGCCTTCCTGACCGGGATAAAGGCTATCTGGACACTCCATCCAAGAGCATGTTCTGTCAGGCGTCAAACAGCCACAGTAAGTGGTACAAGGAGTGGAGAAGTAATGTTTTGACTGGCTCTATTGGAAGCTGTGTAAGTGCAGATTGTAAGACATTAGGCCTAGACCTGAAAGCTAGTAAGAGTAACAGTAAGCCCCAGTTTTATTGATTATCCAGCTACAGCGAACACATTCTTGATATTTCACTCTTACTTCTATTTGGTCCAGTCTATACATTTTTGTGTATGGACATTAGGTTTTTAAAGACTAAGTGGAAAGAGTAAAGATAAAAATTGGAGGTCATTACCTCAAACAGCAACATTTCTATAAAATGTAAAATGCCTTCACTGTTTGTTAAACTGGAGCTATGAATTGAGATGAAAAAAGCCCAGTGAGTGTTACAGACTGGATTTATCTATACCCCATTCCATGAGAACAATGCACTTCATATGCCAGGGGTGGGGAAAGCAATTCAATTATGTCATCTTAAGAAGTACAATTACTGGGAAGATAAGGACACATACTTCGAAATCCACTGGGTTTTGAAGAAGATTAAAAAAAAAACTCAACAGCAGGAGTTTGTTAATGAGTTCATTACTCAACAAAAACGGTTTTAATTAAATAAGTCATGATATGCCTTCTGTGGATGATTCTCACAGTTTTCAAATGAATGCATGAAAGTTTCAAAAACTAGCCAACCTCTTCAAGGTAATAGACTAGAATTGCAGGGAAATGAGTGTTTATTTTAGTTAAAAAGGAGAGAAAAATTAAAAGATAAGCACGGGCTAGGTGAAATCTTTATTTTTGTTCCACTGCTCTAAAGTCACATTAATTTTAATTACTGTATAGTAAATATACAAGCAGCACTCAAAGTTGCACTTAAGTTATAAATTTTTCAAATACCTAATCCTCGTAAATACAACAAAGAAAAGCATTGTCTAAACTCAGTTCTGGCCACACCACAATGCTTCTATAAATACATGATTTCTCCCACATGAGATGGACCCACTGTATTTTATGAGCCTCACCATGTGGTATCTATGGTAACCAGTTAGAGTAGAAGAAACTCAGCATGCGTGGTGCAATTTGAATTTGAGCAAGTTTCAGGACTATTAAGAAGCAAATGTGATCACAAGATAAAAAAAAGAAACACATTATCTGATCACAGCCACTGAAATTACTTGAAACCAGCGTTAGCATCACTGTAAAGTTAGGAACAATCTAGTGTTTAGGGAACCACCAAGTAAAATATAATATAAAACAAACAAATTAAAATACTTTTTCATGG